AAAATGGAGATTCGCCAATATTCAAGCCCCATAGGCTTGAATGGGACATGCCCCCACAGGAGCGTGCCCCATTGATTTTAACAGAGATCGCCCCTCCATGAATATACAAAACCGTGGACTTCAAGTCCACGAGAATGGAGAGGCGACTGTATAGTTTAAGCACCAAAAGAAAAGGGGCTGGAAAAGTTACCAACAGATCATGAAGAGAGCTTATATGAGTTGTAGGTGTGAATGATTCTTCAGCATCTCATTCTTTGCAGTACTAGAAATGGAAGGAAAATTTCACTGCAGGTGGAATTTTTATTTTCAGAACACAACAGCCTCATTTTGCTTTCTGTACACAAGTGCCTTTTCCCATTAGCAACTCCATCTGTGAGGCAGATCACAGCTTAGGTGAAACTATAACACTGGATGGATGCCAAGAGATTTTCTATGACTCCCAGGCACTTTACATCTTTGATATTATTTGGATTATTCTGTTATAAAGAAGAACTTTACATGCAAGATTACCCATTGCTGGAAAAACTGAAAGGGAGGGGAAAACACACAACACAGAACAAGATTTACTGGTTTTAATTTTTTTTTTAATTCCCCTAGTCTATTTGATTCACAACACATAAAAATTCCTGTTCACAGCATGGCTGGATCAGAAAGGCAGTAATCGTTCAGGATCACCCACCACCAAATTTTTATAAAACCATCAAACATTTTATGTTAAGGAGCAACTGGTTCTCTGACAGTGGCTGCAGCTGATGCGCTATTTCTGTGTGTTTGTGTACCTTCGAGTCACTTATGGCACCCCTACAAATTTCATCTAGTTTTCTAAGACAAGGAATATTCAAAGGTGGTTTTGCCAGTTCCTTCCTCTGAAATATAGCCTACAGCACCTGATATTCATTGATGGTCTCCCATCCAAGTACTATCCAGGGCTGACCCTGCTTAGTTTCTAAGATCAGATAGGATCTGGTACATTTAGAATACTTAGGCCTTACATGGGGGATATATCTTTCTTAAGGTAGGTAAGCTGCTAATATCTAATGTAAGGTGATAGGCTGGTCCAACTCCATCCTGAAGATGTTGAATATCTATCCAGCTGGATTTTTGGAAGACGCTGTAAATCAAACTATAAGATGATCTCCAATCTCACTTCACATCTGTGGCAACCATATCTTTCATTATTTAATGGGTGGGGGATGCACATTCAAAAGGTGCTCCTGGACCACTTCTTGTTCAATTTGTGAGGATAGGTTTTAATTTTAAGATTGTTGGACAACTGCAAAATTATTCCCTCCCTTGTTTGCCTTTAGGCAAAGCTGGATGGCATGATGCCCAGGAAGAAAAAGTGGTACAGAGCCCTGAAAAACCTTTTAAAGAATGAATCCAGGGATAGTCATGGAATAGCAGATGTGCAGTGATGTCGCTATCAGCGTGGAGGAGCATTGTCCCTCCAAATAAGAATTCTGCCTCCTCCAAATTTTCCTTCAGTCTCCAAATTTCTAGCATTACAGAGTGAGACACTGAAAACTGTTCACACCTAGAACTCTTAATATTTGCAGTGATTGCACTCTCTTAGTCAATTGGCCTGACCCTTTTATTTAGATGCCTAAACTGTATTTCTGAACGTTCAACTGAAGTTTTAAGTTACAGCAATGCTAGAAATTTGGGGGACTGAAAGAATAATTAATGGAAGGACAGAATGCTTATGGGGGTGGCAATGCTTTCATTTGGCTCACCTCTGTAGCTACATCCATTTTGTTAGCTTGGGCCAAAGCTAACAAAATGAAATTCAACACGGAGAAATGTAAGG